CACACACACACACACACACACACACACACACACACACACACACACACACACACAGACACACACACACACACACACACACACACACACGCACACACATGCAGGCACACACACACGCACACATGCACAGGCACGCGCAGGCATGGACAAAGTCACATGCTAGGCATGTGCGCATTCATGCATGGCCGCCCCCCACGCACACTGACAGAAAAGTAAAGGCATACCTTGAGCTGGCTGACCCTCCGAACAGATGCGCCATGTGCCTTCCACGAAGATTTGAGCTTAAGATTTCTGTCGACAACATGAATGTTGCCATCCGCCATGCCCAACACAATCTGTCCATGCCCCCCCGCCGTGCATGTTATCTTCCCCGGAGTCTCTGGCAGCAGCTGAACGCCCGGGGTTTTGTCTTCAAAGAACTGGAACTTCTTCCAGTGATACATGTTTGCCGATTCGCAAGTCTTGTTTTTTTACCTCTCCGTCACTTCTGATTTTTTTTGCTTCCCAGTTTTACTGTCACCACCACCAGATTATCGCCTCATAGAGTTCTAATCCACGGTCACAACCATGCATCGGCGCAAAAAAACAGTGTTCTTGTGTCATGCAACAAAACCCTCACTTGGCCCCCCGCTAAGCCTCCTCAGGGCATCATCATCTTTGCTATCAACTCCCTCTGGACTTAGTCCCACCACCTTGGTTTCTCCCTGGGCAGTTCTCTCTTCTCTCTCCTTCCTGCAGCTCTCAGGATGCCGTCGGTATCCACTCTCTGGACTTGGTCTCTTTCTCTTTCCTAGCTATTTTCTCCTCGTGACTACCCACTCTCTGGACTTAAGTCTCTTTCTCTTTCCTTGCTTTTATCTCCTTGTGCAGCTCCCTCGCTTTCCTGCAGCCACATTGATTACAGTCAGTAAGGCACTTCCACTGCTCTCTGGACTTAGTCTCTCCATGCTGTCTCTTTCTCCTTGTGCAGCCCCCCCTCTTTCCTGCAGCCACTTTGTAACCAGTCAGTCGGGCACTGCCAAAACGTTTTTCATTTTTTCTCTCTTTCCAAACAAAAAAGGGGTCAGCCCCTAACATTACTGAGGGCATACTCACACTCGTACTTTCTTCGATGAATCTGACCGCAATTACAGCCTCAATGCAGAAACAGGCCCTCCTTCTGCACCTTCTTCACCCTCTAAGTCTTGAGATGACTCAGTGGACCCCAGACCATAGTCACTTCATCAGTACTGAGCATCTAGACTGAGTTTGGTCCCGAGTTTCTGAACTTGGACTGCTGCTAAGTCTCTGAAACTCGTTGTTGTTGCTGTGTCTCTGGACTTACCTCTGATACTGGTCCTGGACAACCTCACTGGCAACGAAAACGAGTTTCAGAGACTTAGCAGCCTTCCAAGTTCAGAGACTCGGGACCAAACTCAGTCTAGATGCTCAGTATCAGAGGTCTCTGGACTTACCTCTGATACTGGTCCTGGAC